CTGGTATGTGCGGCTTCGTTAGATAAGAAAAATGAAAAAAATAACGATAAGAAATATTTAAAAGATAATTTCATCCATATTGCGAAATCATTGATAATGTTTCGAAGATAGCGTATTAATAAAAAATTTATTTAAAGAACCCTAAATAATAAAAGGAAATATATTTCATCGAAGATTTCGTTTAACGCTGTTTTCAGGGCTTAATATGCGTAGATGATACAAATCCTTTCTTCTTTGGTGAATTTACGTACGACAATACTGGTTCTTCTGTACAATATTTCGAAGCTCAGGTAAATTAACACCTGAAATTAACGCCCGGGTAAATTAGTAAAGCGCGATCGCTTATGATTTTCAGCATACATCGAAAAAAGCGTATGAAATAGTCGAATTAAAGGTTCATTCTAATAGCGGTAACAATGACTACACCTGCGTCTACAGAATAAGGATTCACGGTACCCTAAGCACAGACAATAGATAATTTCCTTCTAAATACTTATTTAATAATCGCGGATCGAAAGCAGAAATTTTGACACGGCTTTTGCTACCAACGGAGCTGGCTAAACGAGAATTCTAAGAATCTATTAACGTAGTATAGTTAATAATATGATACTGATTTGGATAAGATTTTCATATGTAAGGCGTTATAATATACTTTATTATATAGCAAATAAAGACATATATCTCTTATATCGTTGTTCTCTTTACTATTTGTATTTATCAGAATAACTCGTTTCAAATAAATATAAAATAACGACCGGAATTTATGTTTCAATGTAGTTTCTTGCACACTGTATGAACTCTTTTTTACCGTGCAAGGGTTACTACCGATACGCGTCACACAAAAGCTACGCTGTATTTCACCACGAAAAAAAATTAGACTCACAGTGCAAGATACGAATAATAATCGTTCCAAGTTTCATTGCAATAGCTCCGCTAGTTTTCTTGCAAATATTTCCCAAAAAACAGCTACTTATCGGCCCCTCTAAAGACGAAAGGCGAAACGTTTTTACGATACTTTCTTATTTACATAATAGCGATAGTAATAACCAAAAGAACAGGTAAAAAAAGTGGAACAAATTAAAAAAAAAAGTCATTGGGTCAATGCAACGTATTCGTCATTCAATTTATTACATTTGTACATATTTAGTCTTGTTCTACGCTTCTATCGTCGTGCTTCTTCTTCTCCACTCTTTCACACATTTGCACGCACGCATTCATTCTCTCTCTCTCTCTCTCTCTCTTCCCCCTCCATCCATCCCCTCCCCCTCCCAACCAGCCATCTTACCATCCGTCCCTCCCCGCCGTCTCTTCACTCCACTGTTTCTATTTGGAAATTCAATCGAACGTTCACCGTGGGCTAGACTTTACCCTAAAATACACGTATACGCATATATGTACGAGGCATCAGGCAGACAGAAAGGACGCTTCTCGTATGCGGTCGGTATGGACAATGCCTGCTTTATATATACGTTTGCTGCTGTAATTAAAATAGCACGTTTACATCTGAGGGCCGCTAACAGCTGTTTTTTTCTGTTTTTTCTCGTTTCTTGTTTCACAGGTTTTTCCTCTTCCCTCTCACCAAGTTTTCTGCTTTGTTCTTTGATTGTTTCTTCTTTTCTTCTTCTTCTTCTTCTTCTTTGTCCTTTAGTTTATCCTTACTTTTATTTGTTTGTTTTTTTCTCTCTCTTTTGTTACTCCTTACTTCCGGTTTCTTCTTTTTTTCTTTTTTTTTCTTTTTTTTTTAATAGGCAAATAGGGGCGAAGAACAGACTCGAGAGGCACGCGGTAACAAGTACACTGAATAACACGTTTAATAACTCTGATTACCTGCGCGTGCACGATTTTTTTATTTTTTATCTCTTGTACTTATTATTCACGTAACTATACATGTGCATATATATACACACACACGCACACGCACACACACACACACGCGCATACATACATACATACGTATGCATACATATATGTACATACTCTTTTATTTTGTCAATCCATTTATTACTTGATTAACCTCTTTATTGATCGCTTGATTTCTCTAACATAGTGTTTTTTTTCTTCTTCTTTTTATTACTTTGCTATCAGCGAATTCTCTCGGTCGCGGATAGAAATAATGGTTTCCGCCGCCTGTGATTGCGCACATATTACATTATAACGGTAAATTAGATTCGCCTAATCCAGTTTTTTTTTCTTCTTTTCACATACGTTTTTTTTTTGTTTGTTTGTTTGTTGTTCGCTAAACGATACACACGTGCAAGCTGATCGGCGAAATTTCGCACGCGTGGTTACACACGATCATCCCGTGGCTAGAGTAAACTATAATTCGGAGGTCAGTCGTCTAACGCTATCGAGAATATCGCGACTCGATCGTGTGTTCGGTGCCAGAGAGACGCGCATATATGTTACCATGTAAGTATGTGTATATGAGTGTACGTGTATACATGTATGTACGTATATTATACGAATGCATTATAATCTAGGAGTTCTGATTAAAAGGTCCAAGGAAGTCCAATACGCCACAATGAAATTTTTTGATTCTTTGACAAATGTCAATTTTTACTCTCCGTGACACATTGTTCTCCCTTTGCTTTCTTTACGATTAACAAATCCCAGTGATTTACACTGCCGTCCGTAAATATCGGGACACCCGTTATGTTCGTGTACAAAGTATCGTACGATTCAAATTACACTTTATCGCAAAAGTTAGTCATACGTTGGGAACAATATAGTGTAATTGCTCCACATTCGGTAAGCAGAGTTTAACAGACGTCTGTAAAATTCAGTAGATTTTTGTAGAGGGCAGTAGAATTCAGTAGATTGTAGTAGATTTTAGAAGACGTCTGTAGAATTCCGTAAATTTCAGTAGATTTTAGTAAACTTTAATAAATTTTAGTAGAATTCGGTAGATTTTAATAGACGCATGTAGAATTCTGTAGATTTCACTAGATTTCACTTAATAAAATTTAATAGATTTCGGTAGAATTGACTAGATTTCAGTATGCTTCACATTCAGCAAATGTTTTAATACTTACAAACGGCAGTGTACTTTTACCCATAATTTAACCGAAATTTAGTATTACGTAACTATTAGATCAACAGCAACAACCATTTGAGTAATTATCTCCTATTTCAATTCGTAAATAGAATAGGCGTGATTGTGCGTATGTGATTTACATTAGACCTTTTAAACGGAGTAAATTTAACTATCAACAGTCGATACTCCTACGTAGTTTCATGTATACTACGGACCAGAGCTGTACGATTGATCGATCAAGCGAAAAATGTCACGAATTTTTCCACCGTTATCACTAACGCTTGTGTCGTTTATTAGACGCTCAATGATTAACAAATAATTCAAACGAAACGACCGTTTCTTCAGCGTTAATTAAGCGTTGCGTAATTCATAAGTTCAACAAGTTACACCAAAGGAAACTATCACCATAACGCTGGTAAACAGCTCGTTACGCCCACGATTATCGGACAATCAAAGTGACACGTAACGCGTAAGGCAGTTGGTAATCAATCTAGTTAGAACAAAAACACGATCGATTTTTTCAATCAACCGACAGATCGTACGACTTTGTCGCGCAACTATCTTCTGTTTTCTTTCGTAAAGCCGCGTGGTACACACAGCACTTATTAACGTTTAGCAACCTACTGAGCAGAACTGGAAAGATGACCAGTGGCAAGGCACAGGAGCAAGAGGGGTACTCTCCCCGTTCACTTCGCTAGATTCCGCCAGAGACGCTACCGGTCGCCACCATAACGGTTTTTCGCGGCAAACGTCGACATAGTAGTACGATCTCTGTATGCAAGGGTGGTATGTTAGAAGACAAATCGCGGGTATATACACTATTGCATTGAAGTTCGTCGAATCACTCTCTATTGCCTCTTTCCCGCTCTGAGTTTCGATGTGTCTCGTTCTCTCTCTCTCTCTCTTCGTCACGCTTTCGTTTTGGCAAATAACAAAAATACGTGTGCCCTGTCTTTATTATTGTGCCAAAGAAGATGGTCATGTTACACTACGAACAATCAGATCCAGATACCTTTCGCTAGCATTCTTTCCAATTCTGCACAATACGAAACTTCGAATCTACGAAGTAAGTCGTTAATTGCCGTTAAGCATTCGCAGCGCGGGCTTCACCACGATGTTTCGACAACGTTTGTCAACGTTAGAAGGCATAAAATTGCGTTTACTTTACTTCTTTTTTCTACTTTTGTTCATTTATAGTATATATTAAACTTATCCTCGACAATCGTTAAATATTACCGCACGCGGTAGTATCAAAATAAACCACACCGAATATATAGTATAGAATATTTCTTTTCTTCACACACTATCGCGCGCGCGCGCGTTGTGTGTGTTATATGCATCGTATCATATCATATACATATACATATATACGTACATACTTACGTGTGTGTATGTGTGTGTTTTATTATTTTTTTTTGTTTACTCTCCACTCAGAACCTCACACTTATCTTCATTTAATATTATTTTCTCTTGTATCGTTCATTTTTTTTTTTCATTTTTTTTATTAAAAAGTCGCACTACCACTTGTATTTTGTTTCTCTAATTGCTTGCTCACTCCTTGTCGCTGTCGCTTGTCGTCGCTGGTTACTCTCAAACGTTTGTTGTTTTTTTTTCTTTTTTTTTATATAGGAAATACACTACGATTAAAGTATATCACAGATGTTAACGAGAAGAACGTTCTAGAACGCGAGAAAGAAACGAAGAGAAGAAAACGAAGAGAATATATTTCACTGATCGTCAGTCGCCGCAGGATTAATCCGGAAGTACTTACACGGCCGCCGGTTATCGGCATAGCTTTCCACGAAAACCCGACGTGTAATACCAATTGACATAGAGATCAAGATTGTACGAGTTTCAATTTGTATTAAAGTTTATCACAAGATCGGAGTTTAGTCTTAAGTTGCTAATCATATTTACCTGAAACTCCGAGCCTATCATCGAGTTTTTTTTTTTTTTTATGTAGAGTTAGCATGAAAGAGGTGACAAAAATACCATTATAATCGACTAAACTATGAACTGGCTGTTTATTACTTTAGCCAATCGTAACAATATTTGTTCGGCTCCTCCCCCCTTCCACACCCCTTTCCTCCGCCCATTCAACCATGCACGTTGGTTCTGAGAATATTTCATTATGAAGCTCTTAAACACCTAGTGTACATACGCGATATATTTTTTTTTTCGTTTGCAGCTAAAACCACCCCGCCTCGCAGTCGCGAAAAGACCTATATATGTATACGCTACGTTTTTTTTATTTTCTTCTTCTTTATTCTGAAATTGT